TAATTAGCTTTCAAGTAATAAAAATAAATGAAAAAATAAATAAAAAAATAAAAATAAAACGAGGCAGCCCATGGAATGGGGCTATTCTCACACTCTTCTTTCAGTCAAAGGACAGCCCTTCAACCCCCAACACAATGGACAGTCTCCTTATTTAAATGTAAACATTTCTCATAGTTTCCCAAAATCAATATTTATAAATGCTATGCTGGCAATTATTCTGCTGCTGTTGCTGCTGCTAATTCGCTTTAGTTGTGTCTGACTCTGTGCGACCCCATAGACGGCAGCCCACCGTCCCTGGGATTCTCCAGGCAAGAACACTGGAGTGGGTTGCCATTTCCTTCTCCAGGCAATTATTCTAGCTATTCCTAATTACCATTAGGCTTGTATGATGACAATGTGCTCCCATATAAGCTTGAAAATATTTCTAAAAATGCTAACAGAAACGAGTGAATTATTTTTTCTTAAAAAGCCAATTCATAGGACACTCAAATATTATAAAGAGAGGCACCATTATGTTTATTAAGCCACAGTTTGATGAAATTAAGTAATGCTTGCTGGGTGACAAAGTAACACACTGATCAGAGCTGGGGGAGGATCCAGTTCTCCTAATCCACTCATGGCTGGTTGAGAATGAAACAGAAAATAATATAACCTAAAAGGTAATTATGAGTCAAAAAGATAAAAGGCAAATTCAAAGCTGTTTTAAAACAAACTAAACACTGATTTAAATCCAACAGTAAACAAACATATGGAAATTAAATTTAAATGAGAAAAAACATAAGGGGGTAATGCAAGTTTCAGACAGGCAGAGTAAATACATTTCAGCTGTCCTCTTATGCAGAGTTTTTACTGTCAGCCATACGGGTCTTTGTGGGTCATAATTCTGAGGAGGAAATGGTTATACTGGGAAAACAAAGGTCATAGGTAAACTGTAACAAAATTCTGGGTCTTGTCTTTGACAGAAATTGAAGTCAGAAGTGGAGATGTAACCTCATTTTTTGTGAAAATGATCAGGAAAAATAAACAAAACTCTGCTTCCCGCAAAAGGGAATAAAATACTGGTAAACAAGAAAGACAAAGTAATTAGGAGAACTCCTAAACCCAGATAAACTGGCCCAGTTTGATTGGAGTGGGTGCGCACTGCAAAGCTCTTATAGTGATTCTGAAAAGCATGCTGAGGAGAGACGTCCTGTGGTTGCTTGTAAGAACTTGCAGCCTAAAGATGTTCACCTCCTCCACCATCTGCTTTCTCTGCTCTGTCTTCTTGTGCTCACAGTATGATGCTAAACCATAGGGCTTGTCTCATACTTACCCAACAAGTAACTAAGAGAATTCCTGAGTCTCCCTAGTCTCTCCCATTTGATTAAGGTAGGTGTCCAAATCAGGTTGCTATGGAGTAAGGACCGATTTTACTGAATGCAGTCAGCTCAATCCATAATTTACCTAACATATCCTATCCATGGAGGCAAAGCTCTTCCAGGAAAATGAAGAAAGAAAAATACATCTGCAGTAACTAAGTCAAATGTCCAGAACTCCTGGAAAACAAAGAATAAGATGATAGCAAAACTAATAGGAACATGACATGGACCTTACAGTAAAAAAAAAAATCTTGTTGGAATAAATCTCAACTGCAATAAAATGTAAAACACAGCTAAATCTTAATATTAAACTAGTAAATCCCAAGTATCTAAACTTTCATATTTTTAAAATCAAAGCTGTCTGAAGTTATGGGAAGTACCTAAAGAAAGGACCAATGTACATATGACAGCATTCAAACACAAAGGCACAGGGCCTTGGGAAGAGCAAGTATAATGAGGGGCTTTAATGCTTGAGTATCTTTCACTTCATGGCACATCTGCCTCTGCCAATGCATCACTGTGAAATTGCTTCAAATAGTAGTTTACTGCCTTTCACTGACTCATAGACTTTTAACCTGGAAATATGAACTGGCTTATCCGTGGCCATACAGCTAGTTGGTGAAAAAGTCAGAGATCAAGTCAGTCTCTTGAATCCAAATCGAGAACTGTGTTCCCTACACCGTCTGCACCTCCAACAACTTTGTATACACTCCTAATCAGCCAAACTGGCTCAGATTCTTGGTTTCAGGCAGTCAATAACAGATCTTAGTTATCTAGCATCTCAAAAGAATAAATACTTCTAACATTTAGAAGTAAAGTAGACTATGTGGAAGCTGGCAGGTGATACACGGCACCATATGTCACACTGGTGACAGCCCAGCTCTCTCTGGCTTGAGCTCAGTGCTGTTCTCCATCTCTTCCAGAATCAGGTGCCAGGGCTAATTAAATTCCTGATTAAAGCCCAAGGCACCACTAGGGGTTTAGCTGGTAAACTGGCTGGTTAGAAAGCACAAAACAGCCCCTTCTATTTTATTTCCACAGACACTAGGAATAAATTAGTAGAGATATCCAATATTCCTTCCACATGATACATCCGCTTATTTATTCACTCATCCATTTGTTCATTCAAATTTCTTTCATGAGTACCTTGGGACACAGGACACATCAACCTCTCCCTTCAAGGAATTTACAACTCATCTGAGGAGATATGAAATGAATCCATGAAAAGAAGTTAAAATGGAGCAAGTATAGGCAGATGAGGGAGGGAAGAGAGAGGTTCCTTGAGATGGAACTGATCCAGACAGCCTTCATGGAGGAGACAGAGTCTATAAGCTCCTGGCAGTAATGAAGTAGGAAGCCCCTTGATCCTTCCATCCCTTGGTTAGACAAAGTAATATCTCAATGACACTAAGGAGCCGGACACATCAGCCACTTACCTAGGGATTTGTTAATTTCTGAAGTTAGCCCAAAGTGAAAGATAATACCCTTATATTATTATCTTTCACTTTGGGCTATGAGGACCCAGTATCCTCACTGTACAGGCCCCTTGGGGCTAGGCTTGGGACTGATGGATAGAGAAACATTTCTTCAGGACACTGGATCACCTGGAATAGTGGCTATCAGTCACATTAGATCCGATGCACATTTTTAACAAATAATTTGTAACTCTTCCTTTCTCATACTCAAATGAAAGCCAAGCCAAAGATAAAACAATCTGCCTATACACAAAATTTACCCTCTAAAAATCCATAATTTAAAAAAAATAGAATCATACATTCACTGCACTATATTCAAGGAACAAAAAAAAGCAATTTATAGTAAAATAATAAGTATGTCAATACCTGAAAAAAAAAAGTGTACACAGCTACAACTGTAAGACCTAATGAGGGGTTGGATGTCTGCACCTATGTGCAGAATGACCATGGATTCAATACGTATGAATGCACACAGGTTCATGTATGTTTTAAGGGCCACTCAACTACTGTGACTGGCATTGCCATTTGTAATATTATTTTCCAGAATGGTGAACAACCCTCAGTAAAGTTCTGAACAAAATTTACCACCTTCATTCAACCTTGCACTCCTGAGAAATTCAATGTGTGTTAAAGCTAAAAACAAAAAACAAAAAAAAAACCACCTTTGTGTTTATATATAAAATGAAGTTGGAAGCTCGACCCTGATAGTTATGAAAGATTTTCACAGACATGAACATCCAGTGAGATGTTTGAAAGTCAAGTAAGATAGTCCCTTGTGGTGTAGACTGTCCTGACCGCTGCAGAACATCTGACATTTCTGCCCATGTCCACTAAGGGTCGGTGGCTCCCTCCCCCCATCATTGTGACAAATGCCTCCATAGGCCTCCATAAATTCTAAAAATGCCTCTTAGGAGGTGAAACCACTATCTCTGGGAAGTCTAAATTAGAGGGCAGGGGTGTATTGTGGGAGACAGGGTGTCTTCCAATAGCTAGAGTTAGGGATTTTCTGTTTACCCTATTGCCCTCTGTGATGCTTAATTTTATGTGTCAACTTGACTGGGTCATGCGGTGCCGGCTATTTGGCCAAATATTCTGGGTGATTCTATTCTATTTTTGTTGTTTTTCTTTCTTTCTTTTTTTTTTTAACTTCTCTTGAAATCATTTATTATCAGGGAGGAGGAAGTTACAATAAATCATCACAGAGTTGGTACACAAACATAAACTTTCTTCAGCATTAGTTATTTTCTTAATTGAAGTATAGTTAATTTTTAAAATTTTATTTCTTTAACACCAAAAACATTTTATATTGGGGTATAGAAAATTAACAATGTTGTGGTAGTTTCAGATGAACAGTGAAGGGACTCAGTCATACACATATATGTATCCATTCTCTCCCAAACCCATCTCTCATCCAGGCTGCCACATAACATTGAACAGAGTTCCATGTGCTATGCAATAGGTTTTTGTGTGTTATCCATTTTAAATATAGCAGTGTGTACATGATCTTCCCCAAATCTATAACTATCCCATCCCCTGAAAACCATGAGTTCATTTTCTAAGTCCGTGAGTCTCTTTCTGTTTTGTAAGTAAGTTCATTTGTATTTTTTTTTTAATTCCACATATAAGGGATGTCATATTGTATTTCTCCTTTTCTGTCTGACTTGCTTCACTCAGTATGACACTCTCTAGGTCCATCCATGTTGCTGCAATTGGCCTTATTTCATTCTTTTTAATGGATGAGTAATATTCATATATATATATATACACACCACATCTTCTTTATCCATTCCTCTGTCAATGGACATTTAGATTGTTTCCATGTATGTCTGGGCTGTTGTAAACAGTGCTCCAATGAACATTAGGGTGCATGTATCTTTTTGGGTCATGTTTTTCTCTGGATATGTGCCCAGGAGTGGGATAGCAAGGGCATATGGTAGCTCTGTGTGTTTAGTTTTTTAAGGAGCCTCCATACAGTTCTCTATGAGTGTATTTTTGGATGAGATTCCCATTTAAATCGGCTGAGTAAAGCAGATTGCCCTTCCTAATGTGGGGAGACCTCATCCAGTCTGTTTAAGTCCTGAATAGAGCAAAAAGGCTGAGACTCCCTTGGGTAAGAGAGAATTTCTCTGGCCTGTCTTCAAACTGAAACGACTTTTTCCTGCCTTAGGCCTCAAAATGAAACAAGGACTCTTCCTGGGTATCAAGCCTGCCAGCATTCAGAATGGAGCCACACTATCAGATTCCCAGTTCTCCAGCTTGCCAACACCCTGAGTAATCTGTCAGCCTCCAAAATAACGTGAGTCAATTCCTTTTAATACATCTGTGTGTGTGTGTGTGTGTGTGTGTGTGTGTGCACATGTGTGTATACAGGCCATCTACGTATTATCTTTACTTATCTATATACACATTATATTGGTTCTGTTTCTCTGAAGAGCCCTATCTAATTAATACACTCCCACACAAGTCTGAGCCATGTCCTTGCCCTGGCCTGCCTCCTGCCTTCTGGGGCCTCCTTCCAGGGTGCTGGGCTCTCGCCATCGTAGCCCTTGGTCCACCCTAAGACACCCTGAAGCTCTGTATCTGGAGGCTCAGCTGCAGCACATAGGACCCCACCCCAAACTCAGCATGAAGCAGGCAGTGGCAAACAGGAAGGAGAGGGACGGCCAACAGGCAGCTTTTCCAACTGATTGGCCCCCCGGGTCTGGGGCCCTTTTTCAGTATCTGCTTGGACACTCAGGTTTAGAGTGTTCTGTGAAACAGGGAGGACCTTTGCAGAAAGACATAGGTATTAGCAGTGTTCTCAGGAGGCCAAGAAGGCTAGGACCAAAGACGGGAATTTTACAAGGTAGGCAGATATAGAGAACCCCTTCAAATACCACCTGGGATGAGAAAGTTTCTCAAAGACGCACCCTCTCTCACTGGGCAGAGGGAATGGCAATGTGAAACTTTGATTAGTTCCCCTTTAGTGAGTGAATCTTGTGGTCAGGAAAGAAGGCTTCAGAAAGAAACTGTAGAAAGGGTATTTCATTTTATCAAGTATTCATTCACTCATTCAGAAATGTGTTGAATGTCTCCTGCATGCCAGGCCTGCATTAAGTTCTGAGACTTTAATGATGAACAAGATGTAGGCCTACACTAAGAAGCTCACTGCCTGACAGGAAGATAGACAGGTAAAAAGGCAATTATAAAATGATGGGATGCACACCAGGAGAAGTAAACACAATCACAATGGAAGCATATAGTTGGGGCATTTATCCCTCCCAAGGATGAGGAGTTTTCCCCAGATGGAATACCAGAGGTAAGATGTTCTGTTTATTAAAGTATATTTGACATACAATATTTTGTTAGTTTCAAGTGTAAAGCATAGTGATTCAGTGTTTTTATACATTGTAAAAAGATCACACTATGAGTCTAGTTACCATCTATCACCATACAAGTTATTACAATATTATTGGCTATATTCCCTATGCTGTACATTACACCCCCATGACTTAGTTTATTACTGTAAGTTTGTGCCTCTTAATCCTCTTTACCTATTTTGCCTATCGTCCCATTCCTCTCCCCTCTGGTAACCACTAGTTTTTTTCTCTGTATCTATGAGCCTGTTCGTTTTGTTATATTTGTATTTTTAGATTCCACATATAAATGCTATCATATGGTATTTGTCTGATTCATTTCACTCAGCATAATTTTGAAGAATGAATTGAAGCTGGAGCAGACAGAGAAGGGAAGAAGGACAAAACAGGCTAGAGATGAGTGCTGCAGTAGCAGAAATCAGGGAAGGAGCGGGTACCTCCCGGAAGCTGGAAGAAGGAATATAAGGCACAGTGTGGGATGGTAAGAAACAGGCGGGAGAGAACAGACGGGGGCAGGTCACAGAAGTCCGTGTGTAAATCATGTCAGCAAGTTTGGTTTTCACTGTGAAGGCAATAGGAAGCAGCTGAAATATTTTAAGCAAACGAGTTACATGATCAAATTTGTGTAATAAACATATCATGGAGACTGAAGAGTCAAATTTAGGTGCATAAGCTAGCAGACTGGGAACAGGACAAGCATTAGGGACAATGTTGCAATAGTCTGGCTGAGGCAAATTAAGGCACAGGGGAGGAAGGGAGGGGTATAAGGGAGGAAGGGAGGGGTATAAGGAATATCAAGGGGGGAAGGGTTTGTGTGTACACACACACACACACACACACACACAATTGATAAATAAAATATGAAAAAAATATTGCCATAACTAATAAAGTAATAAAAAGTAAAAGGGTATGGTGTTTCCTTCTATGAACTTGATAAGGGTTTTTGTTTTGTTTTAAGGGAATAAAGTGGGCTTAAAGCTCAACATTCAGAAAACTAAGATCATGGCATCTGGTCCCAACACTTCATGGGAGATAGATGGGGAAACAGGGAAACAGTGGCTGACTTTATTTTTGGGGGCTCCAAAATCACTGCAGGTGGTGATTGCAGCCATGAAATTAAAAGACGCTTACTCCTTGGAAGGAAAGCTATGACCAGCCTAGACAGCATATTAAAAAGCGGAGACATTATTTTGCCAACAAAGGTCCATCTAGTCAAGTCTATGGTTTTTCCAGTAGTCATGTATGGATGTGAGAATTGGACAATAAAGAAAGCTGAGTGCCAAAGAATTGATGCATTTGAACTGTGGTGTTGGAGAAAACTCTTGAGAGTTCCTTGGACTGTAAGGAGATCCAACCAGTTCATCCTAAAGGAGATCAGTCCTGAGTATTCATTGGAAGGACTGATGCTTTGCTGAAACTCCAATACTTTGTCCACGTGATGTGAAGAGCTGACTCATTTGAAACGACCCTGATGCTAGGAAAGATTGAAGGCAGGAGAAGGGGATGACAGGATGAGATGGTTGGATGGTAACACCGACTCGATGGACATGAGTTTGAGTAAACTCCGGGAGTTGGTGATGGACAGGGAAACCTAGCGTGGTGCAGTCCATGGGGTTACAAAGAGTCTGACATGACTGAGCGACTGAACTGAACTTAACTGAAGGGAATAAAGCAGCAGGAGACTTGGGGAAAGTTTGGATGTGAGTTTGAAGTCCCCATGGGCCTCCAGGTAGAGCCCATTGGTAGTGACTTTGTGGGTCTAGAGCTCGAAAGAGAAGCATAGGCTACAGACAGAGTTTGAAAGTCTTCCATGGTAGGTGATGATCAAAAGCTCTGAAAGTAGATGAAGTCACCAAGAGAGTCTGAGTCTATAGAGAGGATGTAAGGCAAAACCCAGGCTTTCCTGATGGCTTAGCAGGTAAAGAATCTGCCTGCAATGCAGAAGACATGGGTTTGATCCCTGGGTCAGGAATATCCCCTGGAGTAGGAAATAGCAACCTGTTCCAGTGTTGTTGCCTGAAAAATTCCATGGACAGAGGAGCCTGGTGGGCCACAGTCCAATGGGGTTAGTCCAGTGGGGTTGCAAAGGGTTGGACAAGACTGAGTGACTAAGCATGCACACAAGGCAAAATCCAGAAGTATACTGGCCATTGAGGTGAAAAGAAATTGAGCAGTTGAAGGAGGCTGAGAAAGAATGCTCAGAGAAATAGAAGGAAAACTAGAATAAAGTGATATCGTGGAAACCAAGGGAGGAAGGAGTGACAAGAAGGAGGGAGTGAGTGGCCAAATGTTGCAGAGAGGTCGAGCAAGACTGACATTGAGGCAGAAAAGTATATATTGTGTTTAGCAAACAAGTCATTGGTGACTTATTTCTTTTATTTCACTTAATATTCATTACTTATTTCACCCCTCCCCCTATTTCCTTTGTATTAACTAGCTCAAGTTGCTACTCATTTCTTTTATTTTCCTTCTTAGTTTGGGAGCTGTACCTTTCCATTCTACCAGCTGCCTTCTCTTTTGTGTCACTCACAGGCAGACCCATTATATGAAGATGTGTCCAACTATTTCCTCCGAATTTGCTATTCTCCTGCTATTTCTCTTCCTCTGCAGGATAAAATCTTTAGAATTCTTTCACTTCCCACTCTCACACAGCAACATGAGACATGTGGAAAACTTTTACTTCCCCTCTTTCTCCTTTAGTACTTTTAGTTCCAGGCCATTATTAACATTTCCCTTGAAATATGTCTCTTCTATTTTGCACAATTCTATTACACATTCCTAAATGGACTATTATTATCCATCCAAATGTAACTAATTATATATTTTACAGATCCTTGTTCAACAGTTTTTTTCCCCCCCTTTCTATCCTCTCTCCATTCTGAAGTCTTTAAACTGATTCATTCATTCATTAGCTCTCTTCTTAATATCTTTTTCTCTGATAGAAGATGTGGGTGACATGTCCTTTGAATTCTTGCATATCCTGAAATATATTTCTATTGCTCTGACAGGAGGGTAAGACCTTGCTACAGGATTCTCAGTATGCAGCATTTTTTTCTGGTAATCCTCACATGATTCAGTCTAGTCCTCTCTGCTTCAAGTGTCATAGACAAGAAATTTGATGCCCTCATGATACTTCTTCCTCTGTAAGTAACTTGTACTTTCTTTCTGGAAGAGAACAAGCTTTTCTTTTTATTCTCAGACTTCAGGAATTTACCAAGCTATGACTCATTTGTCTTGCCCACAACTTACTGAAACCTTCCAATCAGCAGACTTTAATTTAGCTTGGAAATTTTACTTCCTATTACTTAAAGTGTTAGTCTCTCAGTTGTGTCTGACTCTTTGTGACCCCATGGACCTCTTTTCCATCTACTTAATTTGTCTGCAGAGCTTGCCTTCTGGTTTCAGAAAGTCTTTTTGTGTTCACTGCCGTCTTTACATCCTAATCTTATTTTTAAAGTTATCATTGTCTATTGGCTTGGTTTCATTAAGTCTCTTCTAAGAGTACTGCTGGGCCCCTTAGGTATTATGGTAGTCCTTCCTTTTGTCTGATCCCAGGGCTCAGTGCCAGCTGCTAGGGAAGCTTAAGAGGAAGCAGCCCCACAAGTGGTGGGTATTAGCCCCCTTATCAAGGCCACAGGAGGAAGACTCTCATTCCCCTGTTTTCTCTCACTTCCTACTCTCAGGAACAAAGATAAACTCAGTGCACCTGTATGATTCCTCTCCCTCTCACCCAGCCGGGTCCCTTTGCCAGGATACCTACTGGTACCAGATACTGGTGCCTTCTTATGATCACAGAAGAAGGGGAAGTGTAGAGATCAGATGCTCACATGCCCAGCTTTAAGAAAACAGTATGATTCCACTCAAGAAATCATTTCAGAGTGATATCTGAGATGGATACTACAGTAGAGAGACCTAGGCCCTCTTTCCTATTACAAATACA